ACTTGTACTTGCTGTACATTTTCGTTTATGTTTTCACTTTGAATTAAAACAGTTGCACTATCTAAACCCTTATATATATATTTAATACTTTTGACGAAAGTGTGAACCTCGACATTAATGTGACAATTATATTTTGCAAGCAAATATGGATTGTATGGAACGACATAACGATTATCTACAGATTTTCCTCTAACATTAACGGAAACATTATTATCGCGTCGTCTATATAACGGATAACTATTAACTGATTCTTTAGTTGATTGTACAAAATCCTTTGGAAATTGTTTTGAACATTTTCCATCTTGCATACATACAGAGCTTAGATTCAAAACACCGCATGGACCATGCATCATGTGTTTGACAACATTCATGTAATTTTGGCTGTAAATTTTTATCCGGTATCTTTGCATAAACTATTTTATCAATAACAGTAACCTATTTTTTGAAATTCGATTGTATATATAAGAGCCAAAAAACAGATTTATTCCAAATGTCAGATATGAGTTCTATTAACTTCAATTTAAATACACGCACAACTATTTCACGTCTAAAATGAGATGATTCATTAGCATCGATATTATATACAATCTCCGACCAATTCGGATTGCAAGTCATTGTAACAAAAAACGATGGTTTGCGGAAATGCTGAACAATTGACATCAAAGCATCAAAGTAATTTTGATACATGTTTCTCGGAGACCCAGTGAAGGATGAAGGTAAAATTACTTTACGACCTATGCTATCATCTCCTACTTGATTCGTTTGCAAATAATCAGTAATATTGTTATACACATCTGCCCTCAAATTCACTTGATTCTGTCTTATAAAACGTACTCGACATCCATCTATTCTCACATACATATCAACAATGTACTGCAAAAATAGTTTTTGCGATTTATGTAAAAAGCTAAGTTGATCCCTTATTGCAAATCTGAAACATGCAAATTGTAACATTGTAACTTTATTTCGAATCTGTCTACCATTAGAATTCTTTTGCAGGTTATGCGATATATTAACGTGCCAACTAAAATCTCCCTTTAGGAATAGTAAACGATATGTCAATGGATCCAAAGTAGAATCTAATACTGATACATTCTTAACCACACCATTTGTTTTTAAAAAAGATATCATATTTCTCTCAAATAGTGGTTCACCATCTACAATCGTAAATATAACAGCAACATCAGTTCGAGTTGCATCATTATATCTTCGTATATCTGTATCACGATTCACGGTAATTGCCATACAAATCTCTTTCTGTGCATTTCATACTGTATCACAATGTTCTTTCATTGTACGAAAAGAACGAATAAATGGATTAATTCTATCCAATTCAACAGAAATTTGTCTCATCAAAACATCATCGCAAGTTTTATTTGAGTGCGCTCGCATTCTATATTGAACAGCCGTATCGACATCATAAATATACAACTGGGCATAATTTGGCGTACGATCAGATGCTGTGACCATTGGTCCTGCTCTGTGATAAAATATGGCGTGAATTTTAAAATGATAAATTCCTCTTAAAACTGTGTCAGAAATATTAGCTTCCGAACTGACCATAGCATAGGCCGAATTGTAGCTTCAAATAGGTGTGAGACCATTATACAATGAATTAAAAAAATCATTTTGTGTTTATAGTGGAAGATGAACTTTACCCTTATGGCAACACATTTGGAAGAAATTTCTTTCACGCATTGTAGACTCTGAGGCAAAATGCTTAGGTAAACAATGCCTATAAACCAAGTTCATAGAACCAATATGAAAGGGATCAAAATTAGGCGGTATATCAACCAATGCACATTTGAACAAACTTCGCAAAGGAACTGAATTATTATCAACATTATCAACTTGAATTAAATTTAAAGTTGTAGTATTAATTACATTTCGTGTTCTACTCAATTGCATATTTTCTTTATTTCTTTGTCTCTGTACTGATTATCAATAAATATCAGCTACCGAACATACAAATCACGTTCACCATTTTATTCACAAATTGAACTTAAAGAAAAAAATAAACTCACCAATAATAAAGAAAACAATGGGATAGATATTGTCAAATCACACGAAGATATTATCTCTCGAATTAAAGTGTTGTTAATGTCGATTCAACCAACTAATTAACCTTGAAAAAAAATTGTTGAAAAGTTTACTATCACACAATGCACGTGAAATTAATCTAAAAATTTTAAACTCACCAAAATAAAACGAATGATATCAAAGGGTATTTCCACTTCAATGTGTTTTTTTTTCATAAACAATACTTGAAATTTAATGTGCATTAAAAATGTAATTGGAATAGAATTCAGTTTTGCAACACGGAAAGTCCAAACAGAAAAGTGGAAAAAAATCGCACACACAAATCCATCGTAAACAATACACAATTCGCTATAAAAACAAAAAACATTCAAAGACACATGCATTTTGTTGTTGTAGTCGCTAAATTTGCGCCAACGCATTTTTGCCTGTGTTTCCGTTAATGTACATGCGAAAAAAATAACGTTGTGCACTTCTGCACGTCTTCACTTTTTCTACGGTATGAACTTTAAACATACCATGTTAGCGTAATTATATATAGATTCTGTCTCTCTTATTTCTTGATTTGACTTCACCAGATTGATACAAGCAGCTGACAGCACTTATAATATAATGATTTGTATTCTGCTCATATGATACTCATAAACACCGACACTCGACACGAAAATGACGCAAGTCATTTATGAATCATGTATGAGTATTACGTCACATTCGTGAAAGATTTGTTTATTACGAAAAACTCTGCGACAAATAATTAAGCATTTAAAAACTAATAAGATTTTAAGAATTTATTATATAAGAAGAACTAGTTATAATTTCATTTTTCAATATAATTATTGTCAACAAATCAAAGAAAATCATAACTACATATGTACGAAAGGGTGTTCTTGGAATTATTTTCCTCAAAATTGCTTGACAATATAATATTAAACCATGAAAACTCTTGCTTTAATTCACTCGCAACATCCACCGAGAGTCAGAGTCGGTGACATCGCGCTTAATTAGGAGCGCGATTAACAAGTACATACAAGTCAAAAGAAGTAGTTGCGCAAAAACACTGCACTGTTTACAACCGCTTTTCAAACACAACAACCGTAGCGTGAAGAACAGAAAGCTGATCTACAACCAGATACTTAGACCGGCACTACTTTATGGGTCTGTCGCGTATAGCAAAACTGCCGACTCTACTATCTAAAAGCTACAAGTTTCTCAAAGTCAGGCTCTCCGAAGGCTCTTCAAAGTAGCACGAATGACATGCTAAGAGACCTTGGAATAGATCCAGTCAAAAAATACATAAGGGACAGAGCTCTGAAGCTATATGCGAAAACCGACAGGCTGCCCTACTTAGCACTATCTAATCTCAGAGTAATCACTAACTGCATGGGGCGGTCTTACGCAGATCTTAGATCAATCATTGAATAATCACGAAGATTATCAGGAATACTCAAATTAGTTAGTGAGATGGGCGGGACTCTGCAGAATCCCCCCAGTTATCATAGAGTAAAAGTGCCCAGATTGCCTAACTCGAAAAAGGCTTAACATAATAATACAATCGCCGAAAAATTTTACCTGTTTGTGTAATAAATTTAATTATAAAATTTAAATATTTATATTTTACAACACTCACACGAGTCATCGAGTCATTCATACTCACCTGAGTATGTGCTATGATTTATGAATCACACGCATTATTGTGAAACTGATTTATTAGCACCGGCATTCGTTAACAAACATACTTATGAATTATTTCTGCGTCGAATTTAAATGCGTATAAGTAGTGTGTGAGAAAAACATTTATACGCATTTAGATTTGGTTTTTTATGAGTGTACTATAAATATTAAAATTATGACTCGTTGCAATTCTCTGGTGTCGATAAGTATTACAAAACCAATTAAAGAAACTTATGTTTTCTTTAATTAAGGTTTAACGGTCACTAGAACGTGATGTTTTTGACATTTTGGTATGGTCAATCCAATCAGTCCACGAAAATTTTTTTGATAAATAATAAATAAAAATTTCTTCAAAGGCCCGCGATAGATAAGTGACTGTCTGCAGTCTTCTTTAATTTTTATATAGTGCCACCGTAGTGTGTTGTGATATCAACGTAATATTCCATCAGATGTTTGTAAGATGTTCCTGAAGATCGACTTTTAAGACTTTTCCAAGGTAAAGATCAGAAAGTAAAGCTTCTGACGTGTTTGAAAATATTTTGAAGATTATTTGTGCAGGATGTTCTCCGTCTGTTACTCATAACGTTATATTCACTAAATTACTAAAAGCAAATTGTAGTTATGTGGATGATTTTGTATAAAAAGTACTGAAAAATAAGTTGAGTTGCTACAATTATTTAAGATTCTTTGTATGTGTTGGTAGCCAAAAGTTTTTTTTTAGGTTATATTTAAAATTCTATTGAAAAATAGTGTTATTGAAGTTGAAAGATCTCTCACAAGTATAAGTTGATGGGTATGATTATTTCAATTTTTGATCCATTTTGTTTTGTGAGCCACTACATGTTTAATACCACATTATATATATTACAGTGTGAAGTATGGGGACATGAAACACATTGGGACGAAATAACTTGAAATAACTTGATGAAATGACGGTATATGAAATAACCGGAAATATGAAATAATATATAGGTGGTCTTGCCATATTAAGACATAGTCAATGATGACGATCTAATATACAAATACCTTTATTAAAAAGAAACTGGTTTTTTAACGTTTTATTAATATATATTATTTATTACGTTTATTAGTTTTAGTAAACGCTACTTCAATTCAGCAACGCAACTGAGTTCTGCCTCAGGAACTAATAACGACGAAAACATAACTATTGTAATATTTTAATAATGAAGCTGTTTTATAAATTATATTTTAGAATTTCAAACTTAAAAATAATGCAAAATAAGTTGAATTTTAAAGTGTTAACAAAAAAAATTTTTTTAATACATTTACAGATTATTTGAATTTCGTAAAACAATTTCACGAAGAGAATCTTGTTTTAGATTAATACCTCGTGACTATACAGTTGACATTTTTAAAGAAGAAAAATATTCTGATTGTACCATATTAGAAGGAAAATTTATGACACCCCTTGAATTATATTTACCCGGAATTGTTCCAAAACAAGTCCAAAATGCTTTTTTCCAAGTTATATTGCCTAACAAATGGATGAATGAAAAATATAAACCTTTGTGTATACATTTAGCTGGAACTGGGGATCATGTAAGTATAAAATTGTGATGATAAGCTTTTTAGTATTTATTTGCATATTTATCTATAACGTTAAAAAAATAGAGTTTGGACGTTTTCTAGTTTGCAACAACCAGCAAAATATTTGTATCTGCCATATGTATATCTTGTTTGAAATTCAGTCGTTATTGTGGAATTGCTCTTGTAATATGTGCGATAATTAGTGCGGTATATTTTTATGCTAAATACGTAATCTTACTGAAAACTAATGCGCACCAACCACGTGAACACTTTGCAAATAATTTATTAAAGTCCTGTTTATTTGTTTTAATTTGTACTTTAAAGTAAGAAAAATTATTGTAAAATCTTTAAAACTACAAAAGTTGAAATTTGCTTGCCAAAATAATTCAAATTGAACAAATTATTATTATTATTAAGCCCTGCTTGGCGTCACATGATTCCAAGCTGCTTCTAAACTGGGCATACGTGTGGTTAATTTGTTCCACTATAACTCCTTGTGTCCTTGGTCGCTGACGGCTCGAATGCAAAAGAGAGTGATGCTTACTTGTGTTCTGCTTTTATATGATTTTTGTTTGTGAAGTTACAACGTTGCCATCGTGCTTTCCGTGTCTTAATAATTATCTGTGGTTGCCACATCCTATCTACGCTATCTACAAATGCTCATCTTTGCTTTTTTACTGCCACTTCTCTGAGCCAGGGCATCGAACCGAATTTTTTTCGATTCTGGTTTTCGCTCCGTATGTCGCTTCGGTTCGGATTTTCGTTCCGGCAAATTTATCGGTTTTTTCGGAAAGTTATTTCCGAAAATCGTGCTATCATCTAAGTGATCATTAGATTCACTTTCAGCTTCAATAACAAAATATTTTTCTATTTCCATTCTTAATGTATTAGCGAAAACAATCATATTCGCTCCATTATCTGTAGTAATCCAACAAATTTGCTGGGCATTAATTTTATATTTTTCTAAGACTTTATCGATCATGTTTTTGATAAAAATTTTCATATGTTTATCTTTCATTTCCATCATTCCCAACGTAAATAAATTTTTTTACCGCCTAGTACCAACTGTGCATTGATTCCAAAAATTGATTTATTTAGTCGAGTAGCTACGTCAACTGAGTAGCTACGTCAAGAAAATCATTTTTTTATTTAAAACTGTATGTGTTTTAGTTATAATTTTAGAAGCCGAATAAGTTTTAGTCAATTTAAAGTATTTTTCAAAAAAATTAATAGATAAAAAATCAGAAACTGAAGAAATAGATGCACAGATACCAAACTATGGTAACTATGATGCTGAACCGAAATAAACCGATAAATTTTTTTGGTTTTCGTTCCACTAAAAATATCATTTTTTTTCGTTTTTCGGTTCGCTTCCGGTTCGATGCCGTGTTCTGAGCTTAACAATATTGATATATGATCTGCCAAGGTGTGTGGATTGGCTGCTAATTTTATTTAGTATCTCTAAATGTCTATTGCGGATAATACGTAAGGGCTTGAAAACAAATTTCGCTTGATGGCTTTCGTGAGGTGTGATCAATCCAGTCAAACTTTTATTTTGCGGATATTTATATTGATGTCGTTTGTATTCGTTCTGTTCCAGAGTTGTTGGTTTGAAATTAGGTTTGGCCAAAAGATGCGTAATATTTTCTGAAGCACAGGTTGACAACACACGCACTTTGTATTGAATTATCTCGGTTACGAACCATGTTTCGCAACCCAATAACAGTATGGATAAAACACATGCTTAGAAAATGTTGACTTTCAACGTTAACCTGTAAAAACCAGAGCTCCTTATTTTGTTCATCTTTGTAAAGGCGCCAATTGCTTTTGGTATTCTTGCACTCACGTCCTGCATAGTGCCACCATCAATAGCTACTATATTTTCCAAGTATTGAAATTCATTTAATTGTTCCACAATTTGGCCTTGAAGTTCGTGACGCTCATTGCATCAATTCGCATTTCTTTGGTTTTTTGTACATTGATCTTAAGCCGAATTTTTGCTGCTTCTGGTTCCAGATCTTTAAGTTTTTGATGCATATCGGTAAAACGATGTACCAATTCACATTTATCGTCTGCATAATTTAGATTCTAGTCGGTCATTTGGGTCTAAAGGGCCTCATACGATGCCACGGCTATTATTTTCGGTTGCAAGTTTAGAAACACGGTGGTTTTGAGAGACCGGCGTTGAGAAAAACACGCGCTAAAAGTGATCGCTCAGCAACTTCTCTTGTTTTTAATACGAAAAGTTAAATTTCAAATTTTAAAGTTATGAACACTTGATCAATTGATCATAAATAAAAAAAATTTTATCAAAACGGTGCTTGATTTTAATAGGTGAAATTCGGTTTTGTGAATTTAAAAATTTTTTATTTTAAAAAATTAAAGTTTAATTTGCAAATTAAACAAAAACAAAAAAAGTTTGTTTTTGCTTAAAATATCTGATAGAGTCAGCATATGCTTTTCTTAATGAAAGTAAGAAATAGTGAATGTGGAGTTGTCACAGTGTAAGTTATAAGTACCTTTAAAAACTTAAATAAAAATAAATTTTTATTTATTTATAAATCTAAAAATTTTAAATAATTAAACAAACTGAATATATTGTGAAACTATTATATTTTGTTGAATTCTTTCAATTAATTTTGTTTTACTCCGTGAAAACTGTGCGTTACAAGGTAACTATAACACTTAAACAACCAGACATCTTTCAAATCTGTCATCGACACAAACCTTATTTTAGTCTTTGTACTATGATAGCGAATAGCTCAGCCTAAAAGGATGCAAGATGCCATGATGAATATTCCATCCCCTTTATCTAAAAATGAAAGGCCTTTGGATCAAACTCAAGCTATCATGCTAAATGAGCTTAAATGCAATATTAAATTTTTAACAGAAAAAATAAATCTCTTAGAAAACAGTTATGAAAGCGTTAAGAAAGAAAATCAAAAACTAAAGGTAAAAAAGAATAGTTGATTATCACAGAAGAAAGAAACTGATAATATGGTAATGCTGTTGATACAAAATTAGATAGCACGAGTGTTCAGTACCACACTGATGAAGAGGAATTGGCGGTAGAAACGGAAGAATATTGAAACAAAAACGTCCGACTAAAAAACGAAAAGCTGAATCTTCTCCAGAGCTTCAAGTTTCACATGATAAAAATCCAAACGTCAATCTGAAACTGGGAATTCTATTAAATACTAAAAACCGCAAAGTTCATTCTCCCCCTCCAATATTGTGTCAGGAGTTACTGATTACATAAAGTTTTACGAAGATATTAAAAACACTGCGAAAACTGATGTTTCATTCAAGCTTATAAATAATGGGAAGTATATGTTTAATACAAGGGAAGCAGATAACTACAGAAGCATAACAAAGCTGCTGTCTATTGCAAAGATAAATTGATATTCATATGAAGATAAACAAACAAGACCTGTTTGTATTATTGTTAAAAACCTGCATCACTCCTGTGAATCTAAACTTATTGTTGAGGACTTACAGAGACAAGGGCTAAAAGCCATAAGTGCAGATAGGAAATTTAAATGAAAAACCAAGCAACCACTTGATATGTTTCTGCTTACTTTTGAGTCTATTGAACACAAAAGGTTTACGGAATAAAGAAAATATTAGTTACTATTGTCTCTATTGAAGCAGTAAAAAGACCAAATCAAATATCTCAGTGTAAATATTGTCAGTTGGTACTTCAACTGCTAAAAAACCAGGAAAAGTTTGATAAAGTTTTACATGAACGGATAAGTAAACTAAAACAGATTCTTCCCAAACACCGTATGTAATGCAGTCTTCAATAAAAGTTATGCTCTGAAACGCAAATGGGCTGCTACATCAATAAAACGAACTACAGGCTATTCTTTACAATAAGTCCATCGATATATGTCTAATAGCAGAAACCCACTTTACGAAGGAATCACATATAAAATTTAGAGGTTATGAAACTTATCACACTACTCATCCCAATAACAATGCACGAAGGAGAAGTGCTATTATAATAAAGGAAACCATCAATCACTATGAAGAGGAAAAGATCAGAAGTTCTTCTATTTACACAACAGATTCAAAAATCAGCACGGATGAGTACTCTTCAGTTCTCTAAACACCAGATTAAATCAACCCTTCTAAAAGAAATTGGTAAACTAATATGGGAAAAAACTGATAAAACGAAATTAAATAGGAAAACTTCACAACTACGAAAACTTATCAATAATGTTAAAAACGATAAGATACAACAGAATCTTAGAAGCCTTTCCTATGAGAAACGCACAGATTACTCGCTGTGGAAAACCGTGAAAGCAGTAAAACAACCTATGAAACATAATCCTCCTATTAAACCAGATGGTACAACATGGGCCAAAAGTGATGAAGAAAAAGCAAATTTATTCGCAAAATTTCTTAAGGTAATATTCTCACTAAATGGTGATGGAAATATTTTTCCTACGTCTAACTTAAATGCATTAAACGAAGCAATACAACCAACTTCGCCGAGGGAAATGAAAAATGAAATAAGAAATATGAAACTAAAAAAAGGTTGGGATCAGATAACCGCTGAGATCTTAAACCAATTCCCCAACAAAGGAATAATCAAACTATGCAAAATAATGAATGCAGCTCTGCGCGTAAGACACTTCCCAATTTATTGGAAAGTAGCGGAAATATTTATGGTACACAAACAAGGAAAACCTGCTAATGAAGGAAAACCAATTTAGGTTCCGAAAAAAACATTCTACTGTAGAACAAATACACAGAATATGCAATAAAATCAAAAGTTTGGCACAAAGGACTTGTGCATAAGATTGAATTATGATAATTATGAAGATGATAATTATCTTGCCAATTCTTCAGAGTGAAATGTAAAGGTGCGTACTCAACACTTGAACCAATTGAAGCCGGAGTACCGCAGGGAAGTATTCTTGGCCCAATTCTGTACCTAATTTACACAGCTGACTTGCAAGTCCAACCAGAAAGTGTCAGTGCTACGTTTGCAGATGATACATCGAACT